CCCGGACCAGTGTGGGGTCCCTCCCACACAATGCCATCATTCCTGGACTTATCTGATGTGAGCTTCCATGGGTGCAGTTCCAGAACTGCTTCAATATGGGTCCATACCATGGGTTCCATCCATAAGGAGAAGACTGCTCCAGCATAGGTTGCCAACAGCTGGCAGCTCCTGCCAGATCACTTACTCCTGCATGATCACCTACTCCTCTCCAAGGGCTGCAGCTCTGACCTGGAATCTGCTCCTGAGGGGACTCTCCATAGGACACAGCCTCCTTCAGGACAGACCCACCTGTTCCACCATGGGCTTCTCCATGGGTCGCAGTGTGGAGATCTGCTCCACTATGATACACCATGGCCTGCAGAGGAACAGTCACCTGCCTGCCCTTAGTGACAAGGCAAAATCCCACTGTAAGCTAGCTGAGAGAGCATCCAAGAGTGCTATTAACAGGGTCCATTGAGACTCTAAGGGGCAGGGAGAGGGTGAACCAGGTCCAGGATCCACCCATCGAGAGTATCATTAAACAGAGAGAGCAGACAGGCTGAGAGAAGACTGAGGTACTCAACAACTTCTTTGCCTCAGTCTTCATTGCCAGTTGCACTTTCCTAACTGAAATTGGCAGGTTGAACTGTATCCTGAAACTGAAGCAGGAGAAAATTTTTTGAGAGACAGGATAGGTGCTATGCAGGGCCTCTTCTCACCAACAAGGAAGGGCTGGTAGGGAATGTGAAGCTCAAGGGCAGCCTTGGCTGAAGTGACCATAAATTGGTGGAGTTCAGGATCCTTAGGGCAGCAAGGAGGGAGCACAGCAAGCTTGCTATCCTGGGCTTCAGGAGAGCAGAACTGGGCCTCTGCAGGGACCTGGTTGGTAGAGTACCATTGGACAAAGCCCTGCAGGGAAGAAAGTCCCAGAAAATCTTGTTAATCTTCAAGGATAACCTCCTCCAAGCTCAGGAGTAATGCATCCCAATAAAGAGGAAATCAGTCCACCTGCATAGATGAACAAGGAGTTCCTGGCCAAACTTATGCAGAAATAGGAGGCCTACAGAGGAAGCAAGGACAGATAGCCTAGGAAGAATACAGAGAAATCACCTGAGCAGCCAGGGATCAAGTTACAGAAGCCCTTTTAGAATTAAATTTGGCCAGGGGCATCAAGGGCAATAAGAAAGAGTTCTATTGGTACTATAAAACTATAGGTAATGACTATTTTGCCTCAATTGTCACCAACAAGAGCTCCAGCCACATGGCCTGTGCCCAGGGAGGCAAAGGTAGGGACTGGAAGAATGATGAACTGCCCACTGTAGGAGAAGATCAGGTTCGAGACCAGCTGAGGAACCTAAAAGTGCACAAGTCCATAGGTCCTGATTAGGTGCATCTATGGGTCCTGAGGAAATTGGCAAACAAAGTTGGTAAGCTACTACCCATCATATATGAGAAGTCGTGGCAGTTTGGTGAAGTTCCCGCTGACTAGAAGAGAAGAAAAATAACCCCCATGGGAAAAAAGGAAAACTGGGGAACTACAGGCCAGTCAGTCTCACCTCTGTGCCTGGCAAGATCATGGAGCAGATCCTCCTGGAAACTATGCTAGGGAACATGGAAAATATGGAGGTGACTGGTGACAGCCAAAATGACTTCTCTAAAGGCAGATCATACCTGACAAATCTGGTGGCCTTCTATGACAGGTTTACAACACTGATGGATAAGGGAAGAGCAACTGATATACTCTTTCTGGACTTGTACAAAGCATTTGACACTGTCCCCCATGATATCCTAGTCTCTAAGCTGGAGAGACATGGATATGGTGGACAGACTACTCAGAGGGTAAATAATTGGCTGGATGACTGCACTCAAAGAGTCACGGTCAATGGCTCAATGTCCAAGTGGAGATCAGTTACAATTGCTGCTCCTCAGGGGTCAGTATTGGGACCAGAACTCTTTAACATCTTTGTTGGTGACATGGACAGTGGGATCAAGTGCACCCTCAGCAAGTTTGCTGATGGCACCAAGCTGTGTGCTGTGGTTGACACTCTGGAGGGTAGGGATGCCATCCAAAAGGCCCTTGACAGGCTTTAGAAGTGGACCTGTGAAAACCTCATGAAGTTCAACAAGGCCAGGTGCAAAGTCCTACATCTGGGCCAGGGCAATCCTAATCACAAATACAGGCTGAGTGGAGACTGGATTGACAACAGGCCCGAGAAGAAGTACTTGGGAATGTTGCTGGATGAGAAGATCAACATGAGCTGGCAACGTGTGCCTGCAGCCCAGAAAGCCAGCTGTACCCTGGGCTGCATCAAAAGCAGCGTGACCAGCAGGTTGAAGAAGGTGATTCTCCCCCTCTGCTCTGCTCTCATGAGACCACACCTGTAGTACTCTGATCAGCTCTGTGGTCCCCAGCACAAGAAGGACATGGAGCTATTAGAACGAGTGCATAAGAGGGCCACAAAGATGATCAGGGGGCTGGAGTACCTCTCCTATGAAAGGGGGCTGGGAAAATTGAGGTTGTTCAGCCTGTAGAAGAGAAGGCTCCGGGGAGACCTCATGTCTGTTTTTCTGTACCTAAAAAGGTCCTACAATAAAGCTCAGGATGGGCTCTGTATCTGATAATGTCATGATAGGACAAAGGGGAATGGTTTTAAACTTAAAAAGGGTAGATCTAGATTAGATATTCTGAATGAATTCTTTACTCTGAGGATGGTGAGGCACTAGAACAGGTTGCCCAGAGAAGTAGTGGATGTCCCATCCCTGGAAATGTTTAAGGCCAAGTTGGATACGGTCTGGCAAGGGGCTGGAATTAGATGATCTTTCAAATCCCTTCCAACCCAAACCATTCTATGATTCTATGAGTGTCTGCCCACCTCTTCCTTCATTATATTCTCAAGAATCTCTCACAGGGAAAGAAAGATTCCTGGATGCATCATAGGAACCCAAGCACACCACCTCCAAGCAGCTGAATGGGAGTGGGGCTTACCTCCATTTCAGTTGATTGACCCCACCTTATTCATCCTTAAAAATATCAAATTTCAATCTGGTGGTGGTGGAGTAGTTAATTTAGAGTGTGGTCAATATGATTGAAACCTTTAAAGCAAAATTCCTGCTGCTTAGATGAATGAACCTGATATCTCTGTCTCTGTTGTGGTAGAGGTGGGAGCTCTGAATGTTTTCTCAGTCCCTTGCCCTGTGGTTACCCCTCTTCACCACTTCACCACTGAGTGCAGCCACTCCAGTTGCCTTTAGCTCTTAAATTACCCAGGATGGTGGAGGGTGAAACCATGCAGGACAGCTCCGAAATTGCTACCTGGCTCATCCTCCATCCCTGAGTTTTTGCTGTTCTGAAAGGCAACTTCTCTCAGGATCCCTAGAAGGGTCCCAGATCCTTAAAAAGACATTCCACAGTCACATATGAGCTAGCTGGACACATGGACCTTTCCTGCCACAGACCGTTATACTGGCTGACCATGAGTTACTTTGTCCAGCCTCTTCTCATCTACAGGCAGAATGGTAGAGTATGGATTTGTCCTATGAAAGGGGCACAAGAGATTTCCACTAGGTACATTATTTGCAGAGTTAAGTGGTGTGATGCTTTTTTCCCCTCCCATAGATCACAGATTTCCACTTTACTACTCAGTTCTACTGCTCAGCTCCATCAAGTTTGAAAACCATGTAAGATACACTGATCCTCTGTAACTACGCATTAGCATTTCCTACCCAATTCTTCACAAATTTGACAAGTCCAATTTGTATAGAATTCAGCCATAGCCTGATTCTTTCAGGTTACTTCCAACTCTGTGGCCAATATCATTTATCGATTTCATAGTTGGAAGTGATTTATTAGCAACAGGACATTTTGAAAATACTTTGGTAAGCATTTCTTTTTATCACCCAAAGTACTAATTCCAGTTTTTAGGCCTAAACCAATCATTGCAAGCCATTTCAGTTAAAGCAGGAATTCACTAACACAGGTGGGCATTTAGGTGCCCAAATAGTGTTCTAAAGGTTCCTTGGAAATTTATCACTGGGGGCACATTAGCAAATGATCAGGCACCCATCACATACACACAGTCTTGACCAGATCCTGACAACTACACCAGATATGCATGGATGTCAGGAGTGCGGCCTCCTCTTCCAGCTGTTCCAACCCAAGCCCGCTCCTGTCCAGCCACTGGGGCCCAGCCCGGTGCCTGTAGACCCGGGGTCAACACCCAGGGCAAGGGACATAGTCGATGCTTTCCCCTTTTCAGTTTCAGCTGGTAGCAAAGCCAAGCATATGCCAGAGACACAAAGACAGATACAGAGCACTGGCATGACTGGTCACACAGGCTGCCTCAGCAAATGGCTGCCTTCAACAGCTCTTACACACAGGACTCACATGAAAGGGAGAAGGACAGGGAAATGCTTGAGAGGGTCCAGTGCAGAGCCATGAGGATGATTAAGGAAGTGGAGCAGGCTGAGGGAGCTGGGCCTCTTTAGCTTTGAGAAGAGGAGACTGAGGGGTGACCTCATTAATGTTTATAAATATGTAAAGGGCGAGCGTCAGGAGGATGCAGCCAGGCTCTTCTCAGTGACATCCAATGATAGGACAAGGAGCAATGGGTGCAAGCTGGAACACAGGACGTTCTGCTTAAATATGAGACGAAACTTCTTCACAGTGAGGGTTACAGAGCACTGAAACAGGCTGCCCAGGGGGGCTGTGGAGTCTCCTTCTCTGGAGACTTTCAAAACCCACCTGGATGTGTTCCTGTGTGACATGATTTAGGTGTTCCTGCTCCGGCAGGGGGATTGGACTAGCTGATCTTTCAAGGTCCCTTCCAATCCCTACCATTCTGTGATTCTGTGAAACAGAGACAGCTGAGCCCCCTGCCTCCTCTCCAGCTGGTAGAGACAGAAGGTCAGTACTGCAGGCACACTCCACGCTCCAGGTTTTCAAGCACACACGCATTTGTGGATCCCTCAAGTACCTATCATGGCTCTTCTGTCCACCTGGAACCCCTGCCCAGAGCCCAAACCCTTTACCTACTTCAGGGGCCACCTACTGACTAGCTGCTCCAGCTTTCAGTGCACTGCAAATGCACACAGTCACACACCGGTCCCTCATGCACACCACAGACACAAGCATTCCAGGGCATAGCAGCATGGACCCACTACCCGAGACCCCCACCCCTTGCTGTCCAGCCCAGATTAAAGTCTGTGGGTGAATGCCCACACATGGTCCTCCCCCACCCAGTGCCGTGCCTCCAGTGCCGTTCCCTCAGGGCTCGGTAACGGCCGCACCCCCCTGCACACCGCTCCCCACCCAGCCCGAGAAGCACCCAAAGGTGCCGCCACTTCTGCGCATGCACAGGCGGAACTTGGGAGGCACAGAGGTTGTGGGGGGTTCGTATGTGGGGTCCCCGAGGCAGCAGAGGGGCTGAGGCAGAGGGAGGGAGGAGGCTGGGAAGGGGAGCAGGGATGTGAGGTGATGGGGAGGGGATGAGCAGTGTGAGGAACGGGGGGGGGGAGACGGGTTTCCACCCTATCCCGGGACATCCCAGCGCTCCTACAGGGATAAAAGGTTTCTATTTCACTTTCTACAGCTACCAGACAGGAAGTGACTGACAAGTCATGGAAAGCAAGAATTCTAGACAGTAAGAAAGCTATGGTAATAAGTATACCGTACTTTGTTGCACATAAATTCTGTGCAACAATAAGCTATTGTAGGTAAGAATAAGCTGCACTGCTTGCTTAAATGGTTATGAATTGAAACAACTGTAATTATAACCACAGCTCTACGGTCTTTCCTCACTCTGCCAAGAATCCCTAAATAACCTGCCAGTCCCCATAGCGCCAGCTGAAAGATGTCCTTAACATTTCTGCTGCCTCCCTGCAGCAAAAAACTCCTGCTCTAGGGGGAGGGGGGGGGATTGCGTCCTGCAACAGCCACTCATCCGCAAGCATCTGCCTCTCTTTTGCAGCAGCACCGTGGTGAACTGGGGCATCAAGAGGCAGTATGGAGAAAATCATGGCACATCTCCTGCGGGAAACCCTTGAAGAGCTAGGGAGATACGCCTTCCCGAGATTCAAGAGGGAACTCAGTAAAATCCAGCCCGAGGAGCAGTATGAGCGCATCGAACTGGAGAGCCTGATGGGGCTGTCACGAGCAGCCCTCGCCGAGCTGCTGTGCAGCCACTACGGACAGCCCTATTGTGTGAAGGTTACAGTCAGAGTGCTGAAGGCCATGGGAAGGAGCACCCTGGCATATGCACTCCTGCGCAGGCTGACCGATGGTAAGTTGGGGGAAATAAGATTCAGGCAGGGACTGGGGTAGCCCTGAGTCGAAGTGACCCATACCTGTTACTGCAAGTGCTGCAGAAGCCTGTTCCCCTTGGCACTGTACTGCCTTCAGCCCAAAATGCTGTGCCAAGACACACACCTCAGAACCTGGTCCCATAGAGAGCAAATGCTTCCTTCTACCCAGGTCTCCCTGGAATATCTGGGTTGCACTTACATGTCTGCAGTTGGTGTAAATAACTTGTAGATGAAGCAACATGCTCTCTGCTCCAGCCTCATCCCAGAGAAGCAGCTGGAGGGTCCCTGCACAACCCCACCTCTCCCCATTGGCCCCACTGCAGAAAGGCAGAATGCACTGGATGGGGCTCTGGGCTACACAGGGCTGGGGCACCCTCCTGGGTGGAGGGCAAGGGGTTCCTGCCCAATTCCACCATCCCACCTTCATCAGACCTTGCACTTCCCTGGGGGAAGAAGGAGGGAACTTGACACATCAACCATTCAGATTCTTTCATAGCTGGAACTACCCTGGTGAGGTATGAATTGCACCAACTTTATTCTCCACTTCTCTACAAGGGGCAAATTTTGTCGAGCGCTACAAAAAAATTGTGATCCAGCAATCCTCTAATGTGGCTAATGTCATCATGGCTCTCCTCCATGAACATGTACTGACCTCTGAGCAGTCTGACAGCATCATGTCAGAAAGAACCAACCAGAAGAGAATGCAGAAGCTCTATGAACTAGTGCCAACGTGGGATGTCACAAAGAAATATTGCCTGTATAAGGTTCTATGTGCAACAAATCCAATTCTCACTTTAGCATATACAGGTAAGAAATGTACCCTTACTATCTTCCCAGCTGTGAAAAAGTCAAGATAGGGGCTGGGCCTTTCAGGATAATGAGCCAACTACAGTTGCATATAAACACCTTGTCCTTGGGATGGTCAGGAGCCATTTCTATAGGAGGTGGCAGCACATCAGTTACTGTCAAACGACAAAAGTAGAGGAGGCTATTAAGAACACATTAGGAAAACTCATGCTTCCAGCTGAATCCCAGGACTGCAGATATAGTGCTTTAACCCTAATTTTTTTCACTTCTCTGTCTCCTCTGTCCTGCAGCTGTCCAGGCACAGGGTAGCATCATATTAAAGGGTAAGCGCTGTGTGTGCTCTATACCATCATTCCCTTGGTTTTTGAATGCATTACCCTTCCAAAGTCCCCTCCTGTCCCATTTGGTACTGTAAAGCATTTTAAGATGGCTGAGGATCCAGGCAGTCCTTGGCCATCGGTCCCCATCCTTGAGCCATGCACTGAATGATGCTGTAAGGTGCTGCTCTCCCATACCAGAGCAAGTATCCTCTCCTGTTGCTCAGCTGCATTTCTTTACTTAGACGCTGTCTCACCTTTGCTGTGCTCCAAGCAGCCTTTCCCAAGGCCTTGAGGCAATCAAGTCACCCTGTTTTCTGGAACTCACCACTGACTCCTCTCACCTGCAGATCCCTGGGAAGACATTTTCTATCCTCAAGGTGAGCTCTGAACTACTCAGCATTGTCTTCCCTTTATTTACTGAATACATCATCCTCACAAAGTCCCCTCCTGTCCCATTTGGTGCAATAATGCATTTTAAGATGGCTGGGGATCCAGGCAGTCTTTGGCCTGTGGTCCCTGTCCTTGAGCTGTGTGCTGAACAGTGCTGGAAGGTGCTGCTCTCCCAAACCAGAGCAAGTACCCCCTCCTGTTGCTCAGCTGCATTTCTTTATTTAGAAGCTGTCGAACCTTTGCTGTGCTCCAAGCAGCTCTTCACAACCCCTTGAGGCAATCAAGTCACTCTGCTTTCTGCACCTCACCACTGACTCTTCTCTCTTGTAGGTCCCCAGAAACACACTATAGAACTTCAAGGTGAGCTATGAACTTCTCTGCATGTTCATGCCCTCGTTTTCTGAATGCATCACCCTCCCAAAACCACCTCCTGTCCCATTCAGGGCTCAAATGCAATTTAAGATGTTTGAGGACCCAGACAGTCCTTGATCTTTGGTCCCTGTCCTTGAGCTATGAACTGGACAGTGCTGGAAGGTTCTGCTCTTCCACACCACAGCAAGTACATCCTCCTGCTGCTCAGCTCCATTTCTGTACTTAGAAGCTGTCTCCCCTTTGCTGCACTCCAAGCAGCCTTTCCCAAGCCCTCAAGGTAATCATGTCACCCTGCATTCTGTACCTCACCACTTACTCCTCTCTCTTGCAGGTCCCCGGGCACAGTCTGGCTTTAGTAATCAGGGTGGTAAGTGCTGGGTGAACTCTGAACTGCTCAGAATTGTCATCCCCTCATTTTCTGAATGCATCACCCTCCCAAAGTCACCTCCTGTCCCATTCAGTGCTCTAATGCATTTTAAGATGGCTGAAGATCCAGGTAGTCCTTGGCCCGTGGTCCCCATCCTTGAGCTATGCACTGGACAGTGCTGGAAGGTGCTGCTCTTTCATAACAGAGCAAGTACTTGTTTGTGTTGTTCAGCTGCATTTCTTTTACTTAAAAGCTGCCTCTCCTTTGCTCTGCTCCAGGCAGCCTTTCCCAAGCCCTCGAGGCAATCAGGTCACCCTGCTTTCTGTACCTCACCACTGACTCCTCTCTCCTCCAGGTCTCTGGGCAAAGTCTGGCCTTAGTAATCAGGGCGGTAAGTGCTGGAGGAACTCTGAACTCCTCCTCATCATCATGTCCATATTTTCTGAATGCATCACTCTCCCAGACTCCCCTTCTGTTCTATTTCATGTAATAATGAAGTTCAAGATGGATGAGGATGCACGCAGTCCTTGCCTTTTGGTCCCTGTCCTTGAGCTATGCACTGGACAGTGCTGGAAGGTGCTGCTCTTCCATAACAGAGCAATACCTCCTCCTATTGCTTGGCTGCATTTATTTTCTTTAGAAGCTCTCTTACCTTTGCTGTGCTCCAAGCAGCCTTTCCCAAGACCTCAAGGCAATCAGGTCACCCTGCTTTCTGTACCTCACCACTGACTCCTCTCTCCTGCAGGTCCGCCGGCACAGTCTGTCTATATAGTTCCAGATGGTAAGTGCTGGGTGAACTCTAAACTGCTCAGCATCATCATCCCCTGATTTTCTGAATGCATCACTCTCCCACAGGTGTCCCCCGGGGGTCTGTGTTGGTTCCCATCCTCTTTAATATCTTCATTGATGATTTGGATGAGGGAATTGAGTGCACCCTCTGTAAAGTTGCAGATGATACTAAGATAGGAGGGAAGTGTTGATCTGCTGGAGGGTAGGAAGGCCCTGCAGAGGGACCTGGACAGGATGGGTTGATGGGCAGAGACCAATGGGATGAGGTTCAATGTGGCTAAGTGCTGGGTCCTGCTCTTTGGCCACAACAACCCCATGTAATGCTACAGGCTTGGGGTGGAGTGGCTGGAAAGCTGTGCAGAGGAAAAAGATCTGGGGGTGCTGGCTGATGCTCACCTGAACATGAGCCAGCATTGTGCTCAGGTGGCCAAGAAGGCCAACAGCATCCTGTCTTATATCAGGAATAGTGCAGCCAGCAAGGCCAGGGAGATTATCGACCCCCTGTGCTCTGCTCTGGTGAGGCCGCATCACGAGTACTGTGTTCATCTTTGGGCCCCTCAGTACCAGAAGGACATCGAGGCCCCGCAACATGTCCAGAGAAGGGCTACAAAACTGGTGAAGAGTCTGGAACACAAGTCCTATGAGAAGTGGCTGAGGGAACTGGGGTTGTTTAGTCTGGAGCAGAGGAGGCTAAGGAGAGACGTTATTGCTCTCTACAAACTACCTGAAAGGAAGCTGTGGGGACCTTGATGGTCCAGCCTCTTTTCACAGATAACTAGTGATAGGACTAGAGGAAATGGCCTCAAGTTGAATCAGGGGAGGTCTAGGTTGGAAATTAGGAGACATTCTTCTCAGGAAGAGCAGTCAGGCATTGGGATGGGTTGTCCAGGGAGGTGGTGGTGTCACTGTCCCTGGGGGTATTCAAGGAAAGGTTGGACCTGACACTTAGGGACATGGTTTAGTTGGGTGGGTGACATTGGTAGTAGGGTGATGGTTGGACCAGATGGTCTTGAAGGTCTTTTCCAACCTTAATGATTCTATGATTCTAATGCAGTTTAAGGTGGCTGAGGATCCAGGCAGTCCTTGGCCGTCGGTCCCCATCCTCGAGCCATGCACTGAATGATGCTGTAAGGTGCTGCTCTCCCAAACCAGAGCAAGTATCCTCTCCTGTTGCTCAGCTGCATTTCTTTACTTAGAAGCTGTCTCACCTTTGCTGTGCTCCAAGCAGCCTTTCCCAAGGCCTTGAGGCAATCAAGTCACCCTGTTTTCTGGAACTCACCACTGACTCCTCTCTTTTGCAGATCCATGGGAAGACATTTTCTATCCTCAAGGTGAGCTCTGAACTACTCAGCATTGTCTTCCCTTTATTTACTGAATACGTCATCCTCACAAAGTCCCCTCCTGTCCCAACTGGTACTGTAAAGCATTTTAAGATGGCTGAGGATCCAGGCAGTCCTTGGCCATCAATCCCCATCCTTGAGCCATGCACTGAATGATGCTGTAAGGTGCTGCTCTCCCACACCAGAGCAAGTACCCCCTCCTGTTGCTCAGCTGCATTTCTTTATTTAGAAGCTGTCTCACCTTTGCTGTGCTCCAAGCAGCCCTTCACAACCCCTTGATGCAATCAAGTCACTCTGCTTTCTGCACCTCACCACTGACTCTTCTCTCTTGTAGGTCCCCAGAAACACACTATAGAATTTCAAGGTGAGCTATGAACTTCTCTGCATGTTCATGCCCTTGTTTTCTGAAGGCATCTCCCTCCCAAACCCACCTCCTGTCCCATTCAGGGCTCAAATGCAATTTAAGATGTTTGAGGACCCAGACAGTCCTTGATCTTTGCTCTCTGTCCTTGAGTTATGAACTGGACAGTGCTGGAAGGTTCTGCTCTCCCACACCAGAGCAAGTACATCCTCCTGTTGCTCAGCTCCATTTCTGTACTTAGAAGCTGTCTCCCCTTTGCTGCACTCCAAGCAGCCTTTCCCAAGCCCTCAAGGTAATCGTGTCACCCTGCATTCTGTACCTCACCACTTACTCCTCTCTCCTGCAGGTCCCCGGTATCAGTCTGAACCTGTACGTCAGGGCGGTAAGTGCTGAGTGAGCTCAGAACTGCTCATCACCATCATGCCCTTTTTTTCTGAATGCATCACTCTCCCAGAGTCCCCTTCTGTTCTATTTCATGTAATAATGAAGTTCAAGATGGATGAGGATGCACGCAGTCCTTGCCTTTTGGTCCCTGTCCTTGAGCTATGCACTGGACAGTGCTGGAAGGTGCTGCTCTTCCATAACAGAGCAATACCTCCTCCTATTGCTTGGCTGCATTTATTTTCTTTAGAAGCTCTCTTACCTTTGCTGTGCTCCAAGCAGCCTTTCCCAAGACCTCAAGGCAATCAGGTCACCCTGCTTTCTGTACCTCACCACTGACTCCTCTCTCCTGCAGGTCCGCCGGCACGGTCTGTCTATATAGTTGCAGATGGTAAGTGCTGGGTGAACTCTAAACTGCTCAGCATCATCATCCCCTGATTTTCTGAATGCATCACTCTCCCACAGGTGTCCCCCGGGGGTCTGTGTTGGTTCCCATCCTCTTTAATATCTTCATTGATGATTTGGATGAGGGAATTGAGTGCACCCTCTGTAAAGTTGCAGACGATGCTAAGATGGGAGGGAAGTGTTGATCTGCTGGAGGGTAGGAAGGCCCTGCAGAGGGACCTGGACAGGATGGGTTGATGGGCAGAGACCAATGGGATGAGGTTCAATGTGGCTAAGTGCTGGGTCCTGCTCTTTGGCCACAACAACCCCATGTAATGCTACAGGCTTGGGGTGGAGTGGCTGGAAAGCTGTGCAGAGGAAAAAGATCTGGGAGTGCTGGCTGATGCTCACCTGAACATGAGCCAGCATTGTGCTCAGGTGGCCAAGAAGGCCAACAGCATCCTGTCTTATATCAGGAGTAGTGCAGCCAGCAGGGCCAGGGAGATTATCGACCCCCTGTGCTCTGCTCTGGTGAGGCCGCATCACGGGTACTGTGTTCATCTTTGGGCCCCTCAGTACCAGAAGGACATCAAGGCCCCGCAACATGTCCAGAGAAGGGCTACAAAACTGGTGAAGAGTCTGGAACACAAGTCCGATGAGAAGTGGCTGAGGGAACTGGGGTTGTTTAGTCTGGAGCAGAGGAGGCTAAGGAGAGACGTTATTGCTCTCTACAAACTACCTGAAAGGAAGCTGTGGGGACTTGAATGTCCAGCCTCTTTTCACAGATAACTAGTGATAGGACTAGAGGAAACGGCCTCAAGTTGCATCAGGGGAGGTCTAGATTGGAAATTAGGAGACATTTCTTCTCAGGAAGAGCAGTCAGGCATAGGGATGGGTTGTCCAGGGAAGTGGTGGTGTCACTGTCCCTGGGGGTATTCAAGGAAAGGTTGGACCTGACACTTAGGGACATGGTTTAGTTGGGTGGGTGACATTGGTAGTAGGGTGATGGTTGGACCAGATGGTCTTGAAGGTCTTTTCCAACCTTAATGATTCTATGATTCTAATGCAGTTTAAGGTGGCTGAGGATCCAGGCAGTCCTCGGCCGTCGGTCCCCATCCTCGAGCCATGCACTGAATGATGCTGTAAGGTGCTGCTCTCCCATACCAGAGCACGTATCCTCTCCTGTTGCTCAGCTGCATTTCTTTACTTAGAAGCTGTCTCACCTTTGCTGTGCTCCAAGCAGCCTTTCCCAAGGCCTTGAGGCAATCAAGTCACCCTGTTTTCTGGAACTCACCACTGACTTCTCTCTCTTGCAGATCCCTGGGAAGACATTTTCTATCCTCAAGGTGAGCTCTGAACTACTCAGCATTGTCTTCCCTTTATATACTGAATACATCATCCTCACAAAGTCCCCTCCTGTCCCATTTGGTGCAATAATGCATTTTAAGATGGCTGGGGATCCAGACAGTCTTTGGCTTGTGGTCCCTGTCCTTGAGCTGTGTGCTGGACGGTCCTGGAAGGTGCTGCTCTCCCACACCAGAGCAAGTACCCCCTCCTGTTGTTCAGCTGCATTTCTTTATTTAGAAGCTGTCTAACCTTTGCTGTGCTCCAAGCAGCCCTTCACAACCCCTTGATGCAATCAAGTCACTCTGCTTTCTGCACCTCACCACTGACTCTTCTCTCTTGTAGGTCCCCAGAAAAACACTGCAGAACTTCAATGTGAGCTATGAACTTCTCTGCATGTTCATGCCCTCGTTTTCTGAATGCATCACCCTCGCAAAACCACCTCCTGTCCCATTCAGGGCTCAAATGCATTTTAAGATGTTTGAGGACCCAGACAGTCCTTGATCTTTGCTCTCTGTCCTTGAGTTACGAACTGGACAGTGCTGGAAGGTTCTGCTCTCCCACACCAGAGCAAGTACATCCTCCTGTTGCTCCGCTCCATTTCTGTACTTAGAAGCTGTCTCCCCTTTGCTGCACTCCAAGCAGCCTTTCCCAATCCCTCAAGGTAATCATGTCACCTTGCATTCTGTACCTCACCACTTACTCCTTTCTCTTGCAGCTCCCCAGTATCCGTCTGAACCTGTACGTCAGGGCGGTAAGTGCTGAGTGAGCTCAGAACTGCTCATCACCATCATGCCCTTTTTTTCTGAATGCATCACTCTCCCAGACTCCCCTCCTGTCCCATTTAGTGCAATAATGAAGTTCAAGATGGATGAGGATGCACGCAGTCCTTGCCTTTTGGTCCCTGTCCTTGAGCTATGCACTGGACAGTGCTGGAAGGTGCTGCTCTCCCACACCAGAGCAATACCTCCTCCCATCGCTTGGCTGCATTTATTTTCTTTAGAAGCTCTCTTTCCTTTGCTGTGCTCCAAGCAGCCTTTCCCAAGCCCTCAAGGCAATCATGTCACCCTGCATTCTGTACCTCACCACTTACTCCTCTCTCTTTCAGGTCCCCGGGCACAGTCTTTCATTAAATTTCACGGTGGTAAGTGCTGGGTGAACTCTGAACTGTTCAGAATTGTCATCCCCTCATTTTCTGAATGCATCACCCTCCCAAAGTCACCTCCTGTCCCATTCAGTGCTCTAATGCATTTTAAGGTGGCTGAAAATCCAGGTAGTCCTTGGCCCGTGGTCCCCATCCTCGAGCTATGCACTGGACAGTGCTGGAAGGTGCTGCTCTTCCATAACAGAGCAAGTACTTGTTTGTGTTGCTCAGCTGCATTTCTTTTACTTAAAAGCTGCCTCTCCTTTGCTCTGCTCCAGGCAGCCTTTCCCAAGCCCTCGAGGCAATCAGGTCACCCTGCTTCCTGTACCTCACCACTGACTCCTCTCTCCTCCAGGTCTCTGGGCAGTCTGGCCTTAGTTATCAGGGCGATAAGTGCTGAGTGAGCTCTGAATTGCTCAGTGTCATCATCTTCTTATTTTCTTAATGTATCACCCTCCCAAAATCCCCTCAGGATATACCCTTCCAGAAGCAGAGCTGGCATTGAGTTTCCAACTTTTACCTGTGCATCCACAGCAGGCACCTGGCTCCACTACAGACTGAGCCTTGGAGGGAAAAATCTCTCCACTTCTGAGATGACAGGCTACAAAACTATGAAATTTTGGCTATGAAAGCCAAAGAAATTATGGCTGAACCTAGATGTTCCTCATGAGGAAATGCAACACAGCGAGTATCTCCCTTCAGCCAAGCCCAGACCTGTCCTGGGCAGTGGAGTGGAGGGATCCAAGTCCACCTTTCTTCTCACTGCTGGAGAGAGAGAAAAAACCACCTCAGCTGGAGCAAGGTGGGCCACAATCTCAGCTCCACTTTGAGTAGCCACTCAAGACTCAAAGTGTACATGCAAAGGCAGCAAAGTATCTTGCAAACATAATCAGGGAATAGCACAAAGGGGGCTCCCATGTGGCTATGCCTCACAGCAGGGAGGGTTCCACTGACTTCACTCCAGTTCTCTTCCCAGTATCATTCAGGATAAGAAAATCAGAAACATTCCTGGCAAGTGTATTATCACAACTGATAAAACAAAATTAAATTCACACTGCAGCCAAATACCTAAGAGCTGTGTGCAGAATGGAGAGTTACCCAAAGCAGCAGTTAGATCAATTCAAATTCTATGTAGTCATGCTACTTAAAATGTCTAACAATCTAGACAGTTCTTGGCTTTTGGTTTCCTCCTTCATAGTATGTCCTGAGCAATGATACAGCATGTCACTATTCCAGGAAGTGGCAAGTGTCTTCTACAGCTCAGCTGCATTTCTGTTTGCTGTTCCCCAAGCTGTCTTTTTCAAGGGATCTACTGGGAAATGGAAGTACAGGGAGGGTGGGAAGAGGCCATTCCTCAGGCCTCCTGCTGCTGAGCAAGAAATATGGGGCTTAAATGTCAGCTGGGATCTCTTGGCTTCAACCTTCATGAATAGACCCGCAAGGCAGGCAGAGGAAGGATCTCAAGAGGTTTAGGGGAAAATGTAAAGGTGGGTTCTGAACTGGGACAGCTCCTCTGGAGCATTCAGGCTCAAGTTCCTACAAGACCTCAGGAGTTGGGGAGGTCATCACAGCTCCTGAGGCCTTAGGGAGAAAGGATGCTCACTTGCTTGTTACTTGACAGCTACAGCTGGGGACTTGCCCTCTAAAAAGACAGACTGGTCGGACGAGGGCAGCAGCGTCCATGGGGCAGCAGTGTCCATGTTACCACTCTTTGGAGACATTGATAAGAGCACCAGTCCCAGTTCGGGCAGCAACACACGTTCAGGTGCCATCTGCATGTCATGTCGCGCTGAAGAGGTAAGGCAGTACTGGGTTCTCCTTACTCCTGTCCTCACCTTGGCTACAAGAGCTTCTTGGAGCTCCTCTCCAAGGGCAGCATGTGAGTGCATGAAGACATCCAGCAGCTGGGCTCAGGGTCTGCACATCTCTGCCTGCTCACGCTATTGTGGTTTCCCAGGCTACCCTTGTACACATCCATCTCTGGTGTTGACCAGCAAAGGGAAGTGAAAAGGGGGATTCATTTCCAGTCACTTCAGTGCATCTGGATACAATCCTAATGAGTTCTTTGACTCATTTCATGTGGGACAAAAGCCTGATGCATTTTCTGAGCCTGAGGCCCTGAGTCAGAGCCAAAGAAGCGCCCAGGAGGAAGCCCATAGGGCCAAGACAAGCACATGCTCTTTGATCCACCAGCCTAATGGATGAGGGGAGAGCTATGGACATTGTCTTCCTGGACTTCAGTAAGACAATATCCACAGCTCTGACATTGTCCCCTATTGATATCCTCATAAAGAAGCTGTTGATGGATGGCACGGTGGGCAAACAGTGAGGTGGATTCAAAACTCTCTGAACACCTGGGCCCAGAGGGTAGTGGCCAGTAGCACAAGGTCTAGTTGGAGTCCAGTAACTAGTGGTGTACATCAGGGATCTGTGCTGGGTGCTGTCCTGTTTAATATCTTCATTAATGATCTGGATAATGGGACAGAGCATACCATCACCAAGTTTGTAGATGACACACAACTGGCTGTACTGTTGCACAGAGCTTCCCCAGTACAAGAAAGAGTACCACGGAACTATGGGAGAGAGTCCCACATAGGGACATGGAGATGACAAAAGGCCAGGAGCACTTCTATGAGGAAAGCCTGAGAGCGCTGACACAGGTTCCCAAGAGAGGTTGTGAAGTCTTCTTCCCTGGAGATCTTCAAAAACTCTCTGGACATGGTGCTGGGCAACCTGCTCTAGGTGGGCCTGCTTGAACAGGGGTTTTGGACCAGACTGTAGAATTGTTTAGGCTGTAAAAGACCTTTAAGATCAGGAAGTCCAACCATCCACCTAACACTACCATGTCCACCACTAAACCATGTCCCTAAGTGCCACATCCACACACCTCTTAAATAGTTCCAGGGACAGCAACTCCACCACCTCCCTGGGCAGCCTGTTCCAATGCCTAACCACCCTTCTTGCTTATTCCTTCAGCTTTTCTTCTGGGCACCTTTCCAGACACTCTTCCCCAAGACTATACCACTGTATGGGGTTGCTATGGCCCAAGTGCAGGACTCTGTGCTTACCATTGTTGAATGTCATGTGATTGGACTCAGTCAATTGATCTAACTTATCCAGATCCCTCTGCAAACCTTTCCTACCCTCAGGCAGATTCAGCACTTGGTGTCAGCGGCAAACTCACTGAGGGTGCACTCCATCCCCTCAACAAGATAATTGATAAAAGTCTTAAACAAAAGTGGCCCTGGTACTGAGCCCTGGGGAACACCACTTGTGGCCCTCTGCCCATCAGGTTTAACTCCACTCACAACAACCCTTTGGGCCCAACCACCCAGACATTTTTTTACCCAGAGAAGTGTACACCCACTTAAGCTATGAGCAGCCAGTTTCTCCAAGACAATGCTGTGGGAAACAGTATTAGATGACCTCCTGAGGTCCCTTCCAACCTTGAACACCCTGTGATTCTGTGATTCTTGTTTAGGACTGGGCAGAAGAAGTGAAGCCAGAGATTATTGGGGACAAACGAGGGAAGAAGGAGATATACAGGTAGGTACCTGGTGGCTGAGTGTGTTCCATTCTGCCCTGCACAAACAGTTACAAGTATGGGCCAGTTCTTACGGGAGGTGGAAGGGATTAATTCATACCAATTAAAGATCTCTAGGCCAGGAAAGTCTACAACAGAGGAAGACATCCATGCAACAGAGAGACAAAGGTGCTTTTACAGGGCAGATCCCTGCCATGTCTTTACACATCGGGCAGTTGTGCTGAGGAAAGCCTCAAAGCAGGACACTCCAAGGAAAAGGGTAGGGTGATCCCACAGCCTGGTGTTTAACTTGACAGTTCCTTTCTCCTCTCATTCCACCACTCTGCAGAGCTCATTTTCCTCGGGCTGGTCTGTTCCGCTGTGTCGAGACGGACCTTGAGTTCCTGGTGAGGACGGCCACCAGCATTGAGTACAAGTACTCCTTCTGGGAGCGTCACCTGGCTTCGGGGATCCCCCCTGTATGGATGGAGGTTGGCCCCGTGTTCGACATCCATGCCCCACCAGGCACTGTAAAGGCCATTTATATCCCACACTTCCTGTGTCTTGGAGGTACTGTGGCAAAGATGATGGCTTGGTGGGTGAGACAGCGACGGGCCCTACAGGAGCACACACCCACTTGCTGGCTGGCTGCCCTGGTGGGGCAAGCCAATCTGTAACATATTTTGTCCATTGACAGAGTGGAAGCAAAACACTTTCAGGATCCAAATTGCCCATGTTGTTGATGGGAACCTACTCCTGGAGAAGCCTACAAGGGTGAAGCCATTCCATGCTGTGCTGCAGGACCCCAGCTTTTCCCCCATGGCTGTCATAGTGCTTTCTGACATATTGCCATTCATCCCCGTCCATTCCCTCGTACTCCTCTATCAGGTCTTAAGTGCTGCAGACATCACCTTTCACCTCTACCTAATCCCCAACCATCGTGGCCTGGAAAAGGTGAGTGTGCCTCTGATTCTGTTCATTCAAGTTTGGTGGTTCCCAGGGTACACACCCAGGTCACCTGTGCACATCCTCTATGCAGTCAAGAGAGACAGGCGCCTCCAGGCTGCAATTCCTCCCCCTGGCCATGGCACACATTACCAGACAGCTTCTGGGAGGATGTCTCTCCCTTGACCACAAAACAGCCTTGGCCATGTGGTCAGAAGCAAGGCCCAATCTTTAGCTGCTTGCACTGGGGCACAAATCCCCAGAGAGTCCAGGCAGTGTGCCTGTCATCTAAGGAGAGGTGAGGGGCAGCAGCAACAACATGCCATCAGAGGGTGGCCTGAAGAGACAGTTTATCTCAGGGGACACTAAACAACACCTTCTCTGTGACTCTGGTGCAGCAAGAGCATCAGGAAAAGACTGGGTTCATTCGGTGAAATCACCTGGAGGAAAGGCCTCTGTTGAAGAGGGTCCCACAAGGCATCAGAGGGATCCTGCTCTTTCTAACTGCTTGTAGCTTTTCCTCCTCAGCTGAGTTCTACCAGAGCAATCAGACTAGCACTTTGTCTCCCTGCCCTCTTGGCACTCCCGTCACCACTTCTCAAGTCACTATGCTACAATTTTGCAGGCAGTGGATGAGGATGAGAAGAGAAATGGACATTCGGTCTTGGTGCACAAACCTCCCAACACCATCCTGAGATTTAACAGGTGGTATCGTGTATCCAGTTCTTCAAGGGCAGAGATAAACCCCAAAGTAAGTGAGCCTCGTACCTCACAACCAGGGTGAACAATAGTGTTCTCATGGATCATCCTGACACACTACCCTGCCTCTTCTAGAAGCTGAAATTCACCTACCTGTCATTGGACAGACGTCAGCTCTTCACTGAGATCTACACCAAGGACATGGAGGAAGGAATGCAGCTCACCTTGACAAAGGCGGACCAGGAGGGCAAAAGGGACTGCGAGCCACTCTGGGACACCTTCCTTAGAGCAGGTAGGGAGAGCAGGATGCAGGTCTATGTCACAGGTTCTGACAGGCTTGAAGGATGTCCAAATGTTCGGTCCCCTGCCCTGGGAAGGGAGCATGGTGCAGACATGCTCAGGTGCAGATGTTCAGACATCAAATAGTGCATGTCCCATCCTCCTGTCTTCAATTCTTACTCTCCATTCTCCTTCTGTCTCTCCTCCAGGTGACATCAAGCAAGCCACCTCTTCCACTCCAACATGCTCAGGTTTGTTCATCTTTTGGGGTGTGTGGGTTTGGCAGGGAGGGCCAGGGAGAAGACATCAAATGTGGAAGGAGCATTTCTGCAGTCGTGGTGGCAGACTTCCCTTCAGCAGACATACTCATCTCAGGGGAGAATGGGGGTAGACCTGTGTGGTGACAGGAGTTGGACTCGATGATCCTTATGGGTCCCTTCCAACTTGGGATATTCTATGATTCTATGATTCTAGTATGACATCCAGGCCAGGGACAATGGGACAGTATGAGGACATGAGCTATTTCCACAGAATGCCAGCCATGGCTTTCCACCTAACCTGAGATCTCCCTTTCTGCTGCTCACCCATGTAGATCCCTCACTCTTGGAGCGTGAGCCATCCTCTGCTCTCCAGGTCAGACATAAAGGTGAGTTCATGACTGCTTTCCTTCACCCTAATACAGCCCAGACTGCCAGAGGGGGAAGGGCCATGAGGCCATAATGCAGAAGAATCTGTGGACTCATGTGTCCCCTTCATCAGTGCTTCAGGATTCACTACAACACCAAAGAACCACAGCTCAGGGTTCTACATGCAGATGTCTTCCGAGCCAGTGCATCTCAGCTCCTGCCAGTGCAGAACTGTGGTTCCATTATGTCCCTCTGCTCATCCATATGGTCCCCTATGAGACTCCCAGGAGGTCCCACTTTAGCTCCAAGAGGGAAGCGTCCCTGGACACAACTCTGTCCTATCTGCCAACACAAGGTGTCCCCGACAGCCCCAGAGTATTATATCAAAGCCCCAAACCACTTCAGAGTTGTGGCCTATAAAGCACATCTCTAGAAATAGATTCTGACTAGGGTGAGGAGGACCAGGATGAGATCTGCTTTGAGGTCATGGATATCTCTCTCTCCTGCACAAAATCTTAGTGGAAGTGGGAGATACAAGATGGATTAATTTTCCATGCCACCTATGCCCTAAGGGTCAAGGGACAGCAGTAACGGGACCTTCAGTATTAACACTGGTGGGTTGTCTCTTGCCAAGCTGGCAGCAGCACCCAACCATTCACCCTTCTGTACATGTCCAGCCTGTGCACCAGGACAGCATTTTGTGGAGAAACACCGAGAGCAGCTGATCCAGCGTGTGACATCAGTCGACAGCATTCTGGATCGGCTCTACATGCGTGTTCTGAATGATGAGCAGTACAACCACATCCGAGCAAACAGCATCAGGCAGGAGAAAATGCGCCTCCTCTACGACTTCATGTCCAGCTGGGACACCAAATGCAAGGACCTGTTCCTTCGTGTGCTGGAGGAAACCAATCCCCACCTCATCCAAGACCTCAAGGATCGTGAGGGCCAACCTGAGGATGATGGTGGTTCCAAGTGAACACAGGACTTTGAGGACTCAGGGAGGGTGAGAGATGGGGAGCCCCAGGATGGGATCTAAGGACTCAGGGGAGCCTGCACTACAGTCTCAGGAGGAGCCAGCAGCCAGCGCTGCTGAGGGGGACTGATGAAGTAGTATGATAACCCTTCCTGTGCACTGCACCACGTGGGGAAAAAGCTGGCCCCAGAGCCAGCAGGTGTGAAAAGAAACAAACAAACAAAAAAAAAAAAAAAAAAAAAAAAAAAGAAGGAAAAAAAAACAAAAAAAAAAAAAAAAAAAAAAAAGAAGAAAAAAAAGTTGAAATGGTGCTTCCGAGCCAGGAATTGTCCTTAGAGTACAAGAAGACTGTTTGCACTCATGTTTGTCACTTCCCGTGTTCTGCCTGCACTCTGAGTGCTGTTCCAGCAAAGCCCAGGTTTACCAGCCCCACACGGCTGCCTCAGCTGCCCCTAAGGATCCAGGGGGCTCAGGCATTGGGATGGCTCCTGGGTGTCCCCACAACTGACAGCTCCTGTCAGGAGACCCCCCTGGGACAACAATCACCCCCACTGGCTCCTGTTGCCTTAGGGCTGCCCCCACAATCATCTTCCACAGCCTGTGTAACCCCGAGATCTCTGGCACCCCTGAAGCCAGTGCCCTCACTGCCACTCCCTCAGCCCCCTCAGGGGGTGCCTGAGGAAAAGGGAGGGAGGGAAGCCAAAAAGGGGAGCGGGGGATGCAAAAAAATAGGGAGAGGGTGAGCATTGTGAGGGGCGGGGGGGGTCCATGGCACACCAGCACAGCAGGGCCTGGGTTTCTGTCCTACCCTGGGACAACCCATCGCTCCCCCAGCCCAGGAAAGTTCAATGTAGGCACAGTTCCTGCAGGCCCATACCAGAACTCAGAACTACACACAAGGCTGGCTGCTGCCATCCCAACCCCAGAAGCTGGGGAACAAACATGCAGAGTGATGTTTTTCTTCTGGTCTGGGCAACTATGGACATTTGCTTTGTTCCAGATACATACTGGAAATTTTCTCAATTTTAAGCACTACAACCTTACTATTTTCTCTTCCAATCCTCTGTTCCAGATCCCATACCTGCTGCAGTGAATGGTATTGTGAAGCCCAGGCACACTGTGCAGGCTTAAATTCCAGTCCTTCGGAGAGCAAGACTTTGGTTTATGATCTGGAATTTAGCAATCCAAGTGCATTATGCCTGTATTGCCATAATTAAATCAATGGCATAGAGCTGTAAGCAGGGCTGACATTTCTGTCTGTTAGCTACACACAACAATATTACAATTAATAACAGATCTATTTTACTTATCTTGAACCACCTATTTGGTAACTCCAGGCCTGTCAGTCTCATGTCAGTGCCTGGTAAAATTATGGAGATTATCCCGGGAGTTACTGAAGTGCACCTGGGGACAATGCAGTCATTGATCCCAGTCATCATGGGTTCATGAGGGGTCGGTCTTGCTTAACAAATTTGATTTCTTTTTGTGATAAGATCACCCATCTAGCCGATCAAGTGAACCCAGTTGATGTAATCTTTTTGGATTTCAGTAAAGCTTTCAACACAGTGTTTCATAGGATCCTACTGGACAAAATGTCCAGCATACAGCTAAAAGAAAAAACATCATATGATGGGTGAGCAATTGGCTGATTGGTAGGGCTCAAAGGGTTGTGCTAAATGGGTCCACATCAGGCTGGCGGTCGGGCACCAATGGGATCCCCCAGGGCTACATTTTATGGCCAGTTCTTTTCAGTGCTTTTATAAACAATTTGGATACAGGACTAGAAGGTGTTTTGAGTAAATTTTCTGATACTAAACTGGAAAGTGTTTTTGACTTTGTTGAGGGTGGAATGGCCTTGCAGAGGGATTTGGACAGACTGGAGAGTTGGGCAACCACCAGCCGCATGAAGTTTAACAAGAGCAACTGCTGGATCCGCAACTGGGATGGGGCAAAGGGTTGGGGCAACTGGGATGCGGCTATATGTACAGACTGGGAGATGAGATGCTGGAAAGCAGCACTGATCTGTTCGCTTTAGTGACCAGTGACAGGACCTGCAGGAATGGTGTCAAGCTGCAACAGAAGAGATTCAGGCTGGATATCAGGAAAAGGTTCTTAACTGAGAGGGTTGTCACGCACTGGAACAGGTTCCCCAGGGACATGGTCACTGCACCAAGCCTGTTGGAGTTTAAGAAGCGTTTGGACTGTGCACTGAATTTTTGGGTGGACCTGTGTGGTGCCAAGCGTTGGACTGGATGATCCTCGGTGGGTCCCTTTCAACTCAGGATATTCTATGATTCTGTAACTCTATTTCTCTTTGCTTGTTGTGTTTGTGTTTTTTGGTGTTTTGTTTTGTTTTTTTTTTTCAATATAATTTTCAAGGGAACTTTAACTTCTTCAGCCTTGCCAAATTTCATATGAGAACAGTGCATCCCAGTGCTTTTCCCTCTTACAAGTACTGATGAAAAAGAAGTCAACAATACCCCCTGAAAGAAAGCCGTTCCCACCTTGGGCTTAACTGATTTTTCTTTTTACGTAATCTTCTTGTTCATACGGCTGCATTTTCCCTTCTAAAGACAGTGGTTGCTGTAGTTGAGCTTGGTATTGTGAAGATTTTATGTACTTGTGGATCATAACCACATACTGAGTCAACCTTTCACCCCCTCCCCATAAGATAGTCTTTGCAGCTACATAAGTATTTGGAATCTGAAAATATCTCCCAAATAATACCCCAGCTGGCATTAATCTTATCTCTTTTGGCCTCTGCTTTGTATGCATTAAAGTGATTGTTTAGGCATCCGTCTTCTTCAGATTGGTTTCTGCACAAGTATTAAATACAGTATTTTTCAAGCTCTGATTCATTCATTCCACTGTCCTTGATGATGGTGATTGATATGGGGTATACAGGTGTTAGGTGATGCCTAACGTTTCATATCACCTTTTTAAAACTTGAACTGTGAAATGGCTCCCTTGGTTTGAATCAACCTTTTCTGGAATTCCAAGCCTGGTCACCATATCTTTTAATAAGTACCTTATTACACTGCCTGCCTCTGCATTCCATAAAGGTGATTGCTTTGGGGCATCCTATTGTGGTAGGTATGCTCTTCTCCTGCACTTGACGTAAGTCTTCCTTGGGTTTATGAGCCACAGCAGGCCTTGATGTGACCATTCCTTGAACCAGACAGCACATCAATATCAGAGCACCAAGTGCATGCTCAAAGCCATGACCATGAACAAAGGGGGTACTGTCTTAAAGCAGGTACCCATTGAAATCCCCCGTGGAGAAATTATAGAGCTCTCCAGGGATCACAGCAGGCTGTGACCCTCAGTGTCCCTAAGCTGGGACACTTCTGAGGTGGGGTGTCTCTCAGGGCTGACGCCTTGAGTGTCAAGGCTGACCTGCAGGCAAAGGCCAATGAGGGAGAAGAGTGAGTAATTTACCAAAAATGGAGGAAGATTGTAAGCACAAAACTGACTTTAGACCTCCCCCTCCCAATACCCTGCAGTAAGTCTCGTATGAACCTTGCCATTCTCAAACCGTTAGCCAAGTCACAGTTTCAATTGTAGCAAATTCCTTTGAATTATTGTGTTAAATTGGCTGATGATTAAATGCACATTAAGTGCTATTAAGAATAATACAATCTAATATTGTGACTTACCATAAAAGTATTAATAAATCTTAGATTGTTGCTAAATCAAAGTTGTGTAAAAATCTATTTGCAACACCTGACTAGTCAATAATTACTAACATGTATTTGTATCCCTTTGACATGCACATAATGTGTCTTCAACATTGTATAATCTACTTGCAGGTTTTGGAACGGGAAAGTAGCCCATGGTTTGTCTCCAAGAGTCTTTTCCTCCTTGTCCACCTTCAAACTGTAGACCTGAGAAACTGGGCAAATTTTAGTCACCTGTTTTGCTGCAACGTAAATTCCTGAGGCACACCAGTCCTTTCAGAATTGTCTTTGCCAATGCTGTATGTTCAAAATGATTTAGTTGGTGATGGATTTTTGCCATTGTAATCAAGTACCTTTTGGGCAAAATTGGTAAACCTGATTTACTTCTTCTTTTATCTATCTGTGCACCCAGTCTTTTCCATTCTTCTATTTCTTCTTTTGCTATTTGTTCATATAAAATTAGCAAATTAGTAAGAGTCTCCTGATATTTGATTTTTTCCCAAAGGCTGTCTTGCTATTGCTTTGGCTCTAGTGTTTGCATTGGTGCCTACTTTTTATAAATCAGTCTTTTCTTTATTGTGGGTTGTCTGATGCATCACACTGATCTCTTCGAAGTGGAAGGTTAATAACTGCTAACAAATTCTCAATCTATTGAGCATTTGCTGTCTGTCCGCCACTAGAGGTCATGAAACCTCTGTTTCCACAGCTGTCCTGCAGCATGGAAGGTATCAAAAGCGTATTTCTATTACATATGGATGGTCTCTTTTTACCATTCTGCTTCCCTGCAGATTTATGTCAGGGTTATTAACTTACCTGCTTGAGCATTGTGTTTAGGAGAAATACGCTCTGCTGTTAGTAATCTGTTCTGGGTCACGGTGCCATACTACCTGGAAAGAAGGTAAGGAACGGGGTAAGATAATCCATCTACAGATAGAGTCCAGTCTGGAGCTGGCAGGGTAAGGTCTCTAAGGATCTGAAAGGTCTGTCAAGATCAAGAAAGAGCTCACCTTGGTCTTACAGATCAAGAAAAGGTCATCTTTTCTTGATTCTAGGTTACCTCTATGCAGCCATGATGTGGTTCCCCTTCATCCACCAATGGTAACAAGGTTGCCAGGTTCAAGGATTTGCATCTTCTCAAGAGGATGTTATCTACTGTCATCAACAGCAGTTCGTACTTGTGGAGTCTCTGAAAACTCATATAGATAAAGAAGCACATTTAGTTAACATCAATTCAACACCGTGTAGGGTGTTTAGAGTCCTAACACAATCTTCTGACGTTTTTCTACTATCAGTGCTGCTGAGGCTATTGTTCCAATGCTTCCTGCCATGCCTTTAAAAACTGGGTCCAACTGGGCTGACAGTAAGCCACTGGGTACATCCGCCCTACCAAAGTGTGAGCCAAGACCCAGAGGCCATTCCTTTCCTTTCGTGCACAAGTAAATGGAACAGCTTACTGTAATTTGGCATCTTGAGTGTGGGTGCTGACATCGAAACTTTCTACAGGATTATGAAAGCTTTCTCCAAATCTGAAGTTCATTTCAGTCATCTGCTTTTGTGCAGGCCACAAATGGTTCAGCTATTTTCCCACAGGCTCTTATCCATTGCCTGGAAAATCATTGTACATATCTAAAAAACAGCTTTCCTTCTGGGGCACGTTTGGGCTTCTTTATTGGCAATAATGCTGTTTTACAAGGAAATTTACAAGGGGTTAAAATTCCCTTCTTCAACAACTCTTCACACGTCAGCCTTACTCCATCTTTAGCCTCTTGTGGGAAAGTGTATTGCTTTAAAGTGGGAAGTTTCCTCCTTTAGTTTTCAATGTAACTGGGGATGCTGATTCTAGTAGCCCCATACCCATTGAACTCCATGCCCATGAAGATGTTGGTATGCCTTTCAGCTCCTCAGGGATTTTGTTTATTTTCTGCCAGAACATAAACATTATTGTTGGAACATCTTCTACTGGAAGTTTTACAGTTATACCTTGAGTGATCACATACCAATTCTGCTCACAATTTACAGAATAAGTACCACCCTAATAAATTTGTAGGCGCTGATTCTAATACCAAAAAGAATTGGTCTACTAATAGCAGGCCCATCACATCTTCTATCTTTGAAACAGTTCCCTGCTTTCCTTCTGCACCTATGACATTTACATTTCCTGTTACATCTGAGCCCACTGGGACATTGGTTACTGTGGAATAAGTTGTCCTGGTATCAAGTAAATATGAATAACCTTATTTCCAATTTTTGTATCTATTATCGTTTCCTGGGATCCACCTGGGAGGTATATTCCTGTTTTATTTCCCAGTGCTGGGGTTTGTGATCTAAAATAACTTTGCTTATCTTCCTCTCATTGTCCCCTGCTCTATTAGGCTTCCCTAACCTGCATTCTAAGTCCCCTTCCTTGAGATTCCTGGGCATTCTCCAGTGCTCTGATTGCTTGGCATAACTGCAGCAATCCTCTAATGTTGCTCAACCTCTACTCTGATATCTGCTTGTCTGGTTTCTACTATTTCTTTGCCTCCTCTTAAAATCCCTTCCAATTAAGGCTGCCAGAAGGCTTGCCATTTGCTCCTGCTACTTCCTCTTTTGTCTAGCTTTTTCGTATCCTCATCTCTCCCATTATACACAAATGTGGTTATGCTCATTACTTCTATTGTTCTACCTTGCCACCCTGGGGTATATTTAGTAAAATATTTCTTGGTATCTGGGGCTGCTTGATCTACCAACAATGAGACAACCAAGGGCCGGTTTCAGGATCTATTTCCCCAAATATTCACAGCTGTTTCTCCAACCTCATTTGGAAGCAGAGGGGTGTACTCTGATCCTTGCTGACCGCCTCTTTGTCCAATTTACCATTCCTTCTCCTGCTGCCTCTGTTGCAGTTACTAACCCAGCGCAGCACTAAAAGGCACCTGCACCAAAGACAATGCCAATGCAGCCTCCAGGGAGGGTGGAAGGAGGATGGCAGGCAAAGGGAGAACAACCTCCTTTAGCAGAGCTGGCAGGGCAGGATGAACAGCCAGGGGTGCAAAACAAGACAGCAAGAGAGGAGGAAGCCAGAGGCAACAGCAGCACAGCAGAAACACCTTCAGCACTAGCAGCAGTTGCTTGAACTTGCACAGACAAAACACTCTAAGTTGACGCCTTTTTTCTATCACCCTATGACTCATTTTATTTAAATTGACCACTTTGTTTGGGCAATTCAGTTCTCCAAATTGCCCAAACATACCAGGGCAGGGAATTGGTCCTGAAATAATTATCACAACAACTTTAGGCAATCTATGTTAAAACTGCCAACTCCTGGCCACCCTTAGTCTGCAGTCTCTAACGCAGTCATAGCAGGCCAAGGTGTCTGACAAAATTCCACTACCTTTTTCTTAGATAACCTATAGATACCCCCAATTTTATTCCAATTTTCTAAAACTTCTGCTAGTGGAGCATCAATCACTCACTGTATCTTGTCCAATTTCTAAATTGCAGGATTTATGTGGAATTACAATTTTAACACACAACCACTCCACAAGATTTCTGTGAATTTACAGTCTTATCTTACCACCACCACATCTGTTAGAGACATAAAACAGGTGATTTTTACCCAGTTCACAGCCCAGTCCATCCCCAGAGGCTCTGGAGGCAAACTGTCAGTGCGGTCCCACCTGGGGAGCCAAATTCTGTCACAAAAATGACTTGGGATGTTCCATGACCACGAAAGAAACAGGACCCATGGACAGATTTACACAATTTTACTAAAGCTTTGTCAAGATCATGAGACCCCCATCCTCCACTAGAGAAATGAAAGCCCCCCCATTACATTTTGCAGCAGCTAATTAGATAATTTACAACAAAACACATCCAAACACATCATTACAACCATCCTGACCTTCATTGCCACGCACAGCAGGGCTTCTGGCAGGCAAGGTGCAGGCATTAGATTGGCTCCAGTCCTTTTTGTCTCCTGAGGCCTTTCTCATCTCCTAGGTTGAAGTTTCCTTAAATCAGGACTTTTGGTGATTGCTGCTCCTAGTGCATTCCAGGAGAGTGCTCAGGCCCTAGTTTGCAGCTCTAGGCAGACACAAAGCAATCAGTATCAAGCTTGTAGAAGAACAGGTAACTCATTAGGGCAGGGCACAGCAGGTAATCCTTTCTACACGCCCCAGTCTAACCCTTCCCCCCCCAGTTTCCCCTTCCTTGCCATTTCCCCCAAATCCCATCCCCCAAGGTGGGTGGGTGCCCTCCCAAACTGTATATTCCCACCCAAATTCAAATCCCTGAAGTTGGCTGTCCCCCCACCAACTATTTCCCCCAGCAAGCTATCACTCCTAATTGTACCATGCAAGCTGGCTATTTCCCCCCAAATCACCTCCAGCTGAATATTCCCTCCAAATCACCCCAAACTGGTGATGCCCCCAAATACTCCCTCCAAGGTGGCTATCAACCCCCCCCCTTCCTGCTGGCTCCTCCTCAGGCTGGCTAGTCTCTCTAAGAAAAGACCCCACAAACCAGAATAACTGGCCTGTGAACCACAAACTGGATTTAGAGGTCAGCGTCACAGGGCACGTGTTGGTGGGGAGGTCTCTTTGCCCGTGGTTATGGGGGATTTACAGTTACTTCCAAGACCACTGTGGGGTGCAGGCTAGTGCTGTACGTTTTCCTTTGTCCTCAGGTCAATGAGCAGATTGAACATTACAAAATGTTTGGCAGACTCAGCAAGTGGAGATGTCAGGAGTGTGCAGGGACTTGCCTGCATTCCTATGCAGGCCGGCAGCCAGAGGAAGGAGAAGGGCTGTACAAGTGACAACAGCATTCAGGAGAAAAAAAAAAAAAAAAAAGAAAAAGAAAAAAAAAGAGACAGACAAGCAATTCCCAAGCTCCCTGCAGGGGCTTCCTGCCTCCCAGGGAGTTAGTTGTACTGCATCTAATCTCAGCCAGTGTGGGCTGAGTAGCTAATTCAGAGGGTGTGCAGAATTAACATTTTAAGCAGTGCTCGTGCTGCTTTGGTGAATGAGCCTGATATCTCTGGCTCTCTGGCAGAGAGGTCGGAATGTTATCTCAGCCCCTTCCCCTGCACTGACCCCCCAAACACACACCCTAAGTGTAGCTGCTGTGGATGCTTTTAGGGCTGATATTGGGGCGTGGGTGAGAGCTCTGTAGGACAGCACTGAAACTGTCACCTGGCCCATCCCCCTGCTCAAAAGGTTGTCATTCTCATGGGCCGTCTTTAAGGATCTCTAGAAGGGGAATCTTAGGGGAGGAAAAAATAATGTATCTCCTTGGTTAGGAGTCTATTTTATCATCCTTGAGGACGAGAACCTCTTATGCCACTGGCAATCACACTGACCCTGGGCTGTCCTGTCCAGTCACCTTTCATTTGCAAGAGGGATGTGTGTCTGTGTAAAGAGGGATGTACAGTCCCCGTGAGCACCTTACTTGCAGAGTTGTGATGTTTGTTCCCCAGCACTCAGCAATGTCCTCTGCACCACTCAGCCTTACTGCTCAGCTCCGTCACAGTTAAATCTCTGTAAGGTGAGGCTACTCCCTTGCAGTGGTGCATTTCCCTTTTGTACCTGATTCCTCACAAATCCTAAAGAGCTCAGCCTTAGACTGGTTCTCTCAGGTTTCCTCCTGCCAATATAATTTATCAATTCGATAGCTGCAAATGCTCTGTTCCTTACAGGAGGTGTTGCAACCTACTGCAGTGAGTGGCTCTTTTCATTCCCTCTCCCCCTACCCACCCCCCAGTCACGAATCCCATCACTAGGCCTGCAGTTTGAGCCATTTGCATCGCTTCTTGTCCTTCCAGTGTTCTGTAAACACCTTTTTTTTTTTTTTTCTCATCCCAACTGTTGAAAAATTGGAGTCTCTGCCCAAAGTAAGGGATGCAGCTGCCGCTTTCCCCTTCGTGGGGTTCACTTAGCAGCAATGCCGAGCACATGCCCCAGAGACACACAGGACAGTGACACGGCTGGTCACACAAGAGCTGCCTTCAACAGTACCGACACGCAGGACTCAGGTAAAACAAGACACACAGCCAGCCAAGTCCCCTTCTCTTTGGCTGGCAGGGAAAGACAGTCATCAGTGCAGGCACACAAACACACTCAGGGTTTGAAAACATGCATACATTTGCAGGTTCCCAAGCATCAGCACGGCCCATCTGTCCACCCACAACTCCTGCAGATCCCAGCCCCTGACCTACCCCACGGGTCCCCAGCTCACTGGCTGGTCCAGTATGGTGCTTGCTGCACACATGTAGCATTCACAGTCACCCCCAATGCACGCCACTTTCAGGGGTCCCCCGGGAGTACCAGTGCACAGACCCCACTGCCTGCCTGATACCCCAGCTTAGACCCAAGGGCCCTGCTACTCGCTGGCAAGTCCAGTTTAAAGTTTGCTAGCAAATACACATGCAAACTGGAATAAATTTGGAGAGTGGAGAAAAAAATGGAAAAAAAAAATCACTGTATCATCAATAAATACTCTGTCCTCGAACCCTGGGCCAGGGCAATCCCAAGCACAAACACAGGCTGGGCGGAAAAAGGAATGAAATAGCCCTGAGGAGAAGGACCTGGGGGCATTGGTGGATGAGAAGCTCAGCATGAGCTGGCAACGTGCACCTGTAGCCCAGAAAGCAAACTGCACCTTGGGCTGCATCCAAAGCAGCGTGGCCAGCAGGTCAAGGGAGGGGATTCTCCCCCTGTGCTCTGCTCTCGTGAGACCCCAGCTGGAGCCCTGGGTTCAGCTCTGTGCTGGGTCTGGCTGGGATGGAGTCAACGTTCCCTGCAGCAGCCCATACAGGGCTGTGCTCTGCACCTGTAGCTACAACAGCACTGGTATCACACCAGTGTTGTGTCTATTGCTGATAAATACTGGCACAGCACCAGGACTCCCTCCAATCCCCCCAAAAGCCAGCAGGCTGGGGGTAGGGGACATCACCAGGGCACCTAAACCCACCAAAGGGATATTCCGTCCCATATGATGTCACATTCAGCAATAAAAGGTGGGAAAGGGGAAGGAGTGGGGGGGAGCAGGCTCTTGTTATGAAAATGTATGTTCTCAGAACAACAGCTACGTGTATGGAGGCCCTGCTTCAGGGACACGATCAAGAATCAATCATAGATGGGAAGTGATTAATTTGTGAGTAATTTCTTTCCTCTCTCTCTGCTTCCACATGGACTTTTTTTCTTTTGTCCCCTCTTCTTTTTCCCTTTAGTTCAATTAATTTTCCCTTAAAAACAATTTTATCTTAATTGTTTTCCCTTTAATTAAATTATCCTTATCTTAACCCGTGAGTTGTTTTTTTTTTTTTTTTCCTTTATTCTTCCCTTCCTCTTCTGAGGTGTGGGAGTGAGAGAGTGGTTGCGGTGGAGTTCAGCTGCCTTGCAAGGTAAAACCACCACAAGCTCTGGGGCCCCCAGCACAAGGGCATGGGAATACTAGAACGGGTTCAGAGGAGGCTCACAGAAACAATTAGAGGGCTGGAGCACCTCTCCTGTGAAGACAGGATCCCTGCAATCATTGTTGATTCCTGTCTTCAGTGTGTGGGCAGAAGTTCCGTCAGCTGTTCTGGAAACTGAACTCCTGTGCCTTAAGGTAGGATTTCTTTCATGTTTTGCTGCAGCTGCCAAAGATAATTATAGAGGTTTGACTGCAAAATTACTGTTAATGTTGCATCTTATGTCAACACCCATTTAGACAGTTAAGTTCTTGAATGTTACATATACTAGATGTTACTAAATGCAATGTTATGGTCTTACAACTCAGGATAGGATAGATACAAATGTCTCTTAAAACCCAGCCTACATCACCCCTACTGTCACGTTGCCGTCAAAATACTAGTAAGGGGACTGCTCAGTAATCAATCTTCCACACCATACTTGGGAAACGTGAGCTACGGCACAGAACCCTACAAAAACACACAACACAGACTTGTGCGCTTATATTTAAAAGTCCCCCTGACATACAATTGAGAGGTATAAAGTACTTGAAAACAAGATATAAAACAGGAAAAAGATACAAAAATCTTCAAGAAATATTTAAATAACATACAGCTATAAATTTTGCCTATACCTTTTATTCAACTACCCTTAAAGTACAGCAGAAAAAAATCCAGTGATACTGGAGTGAAAAATCAGTAGTCTGTGCACTAAGTCAATGCTGCTTACATGCCTTCATTCAGTAAAGGCCTGGAGCATGAAGCCTATGCAAGATTACAATCAGCTTGTTTTTAAACAGTTCATATATATGACAAAAATAATAATAATAACAATAACTTACCGGTCAGTTTCCTAGTGAAGTGCTTCTGCTGTACTGAGTACAAAACCAGTAGCCGCACCTGGCAGCCAAGAAATCAAGAATTGAGCAAACCAAGGCAATAACGATGCTAAAAATACCTTCAACATTTTAAACTGTTACGCAAAATAAAAGGTTAGCAAAAATCCAGCTTTCAGAAAACTGCCTTATATTTAGGCAATTCTGTTAAAATTTCGAATAGGAAAAAAAAAAAAAACGTTAATAGAGAAATCAAAGTAGCCATTTCTCTCGGAAGTGTTATTTCAGCGTTTATTCAGCTTTAGGACACTGGAGCGATGCTACTCAAAAGAACGTGTTTTGCACTCTGCAGTTACCTTACTGCAGATGATTGCAAGAACACCGCTGCTTTATATATAATATAATAACTTAAAGTTCGCTGCTTTAAGTTATTCTCTGGACTGGGAGCACTTGCGGCTGCGCTTCCACAGAACTACTCCCTGCAAAGCCCCAGCTCCTGGCACCCCTCCGCAAAGCTCATTTCGTCGCTCCCTGAGGGACAAAAACACAGTGACACAGGCCTCGGGACTGCTCAGCCAGCAGGAAGAAGCCGTAGGCGGCTGGCAGGAGACTGCATCCAGGCAGCCATTTGGTACCGAAACGCGCCTCCCACTGCGTGTAACGAGCAGCGAGGGAAATAACCCCCCCCTTAACCGAGGGGAGGGACGAGACGCTCCCTCCCCCGCGGCCAGCCCTGTTGCGGGCCGGCCGCCCCCTCCCCGCCCCTGTCCCCGTCACCCGCCTCAGCCCGGCCCCGAAGCCGCGGCCCCGCTGCCCCCGGAGCGCCGCCCCCCCCCTCCCCTGGGAGCCTCCGCGGCCCTGGCCAAGATGTCTGCCTTCGGAGCCACCCGGGTGAGCGGGGGGGGGGGGGGGGTGGCAGGGGCTGCGGGGCTGCGGGCTGCGGGCTGCGGAGGGCTCGGAGGTCTGAAGGGCTCGGGGCTGCTCGGGAGCCCCGGAGGACGGAGCCGTGCGGGGCTGAAGTCCGCGCCCTGCTCTGTTTTGTTGTTGTTGTTTTTTTTTTTTCTTTTTTCCCGTCTCGGCCATGAATTGGCAGCGTTTATCTCAGGAGCGCTGCTCGTGTCTCTCTGCTGTTGTGCTGTGCATGCAGGGCCGTTAGAAAACAAAAAAATTTTAAAAATGGGTTTTGCTTCCCACTTCTAAGCGTCAGGGCTTACGGTTCAGAGTGTTTCATACGGTGCCTTTCCTAGCTGTGCTGCCTACACATTTTTTTTTGTTGTTGTTTGTTTGTTTTGCTTATGCTGGTTTGTTTTTTTTTATATGTGCAGTACATAAATACTGGTTTTCTGAAGTGCTGCAGTTCTCTAAACTTGAAATACCACTTACATGGAAAGAAGTTACTGAGCAGCGCAGGGAGGTTGTTTCTCTGAAGGGCCGAGCTTTTATAAACCTGGATTTCTGCATACATCAAAAGCTGCTGACCCACCGGCACCTCCTCATTTCCGAGGTGGAGGTGGTTCAGGGCTCAGGTAGCACCTTGCTAAGCCTTCGCAGGGGCCTTTTCCTGGCTTCCCCGCTTCCAGAAGTAGGTAAAAGTTGAAGGGCCCTGGGTCAGTGCTGAGGCGTGACCGCTGGGCTGGGCTTGCGGCCAGGGTGCGTGGTGTGCCAGGCCAGCGGGTGCTCAGGGCACCAGGCGGAGAGCTTCCAGCCATAGGAAGGTGACAGACAGTGACCACGTACATCGGTGTTCCGAGTTCAGCCCCCGGACACGGCACCTTCACAGTCGTGGTTTTGGCCGCAGAGAGCCATAGGAGCTGTGCGAGCATCGCTAGCACCTTGGCACTGAATCCAGCTGTCCCACTGAGTCAAAGAGGGAAGCAGATGGAATAGGTGGCAACCCAAATTCGTACAGGTTACAAACTGTGGTCCTTTGTCACTTGATCGCTTGCGCCACATCCAGGGATGGATCACACCTTGTCCTTTCCTTGTGTCTGTCTGTGGTGTTTCTGCAGAACCTTCCGTGCTGATCTGGCATACCACTCTGTATGAAAACCCCAACAGACATAGGTTTTCTGGGATGAATTTCACTGTTCCCTTTATGTAGGATGTCACCCTTAGCATTATTTTGAATTCAGTACTTTTTCTAGTTGAGACAAAACATTTTGGTGAAAAAGCTGTGTATGACTATCAAGGGCTGCTCCTTTTTTTTTTTAAAAAAAAAAAAAAAGGTGATTTCTAATACCTAGCTTTTGCTCAATGTCATCATCATCTTGGCTTCTACTAGATAAAGGAAGGTATAAAAAATTCTGAATGATTGAGGTTCGTCTAGATGCTTGTTGAGTTTGTTTGTTTTCCTATATTACAACAGTGGTAGCAGTTGCATAAAACTTAAGTAAAATATCATGCTACTATTCTGCAATGCTATGGCTTGTGAAAACTCCAAATGAGTAATATATTGCCTAATAGAAAATACAGTCCCGAACTGTGAATAAACTTAATAGTTAAATATTCAATTATGTGATACCTTCCCCTGTCCTATACCTAGTCTTCCAGCATTTCTTCACCTTTCAACTTTATAGATGTTTTCAGTATGCTTTAAAAATATCTCTTTTCTCTCTGTTGATACCCGTGTTTGCTTTTTTAACCTTCTTTGCGTAGCATTCTTATTTTTAAGAGCAGTAATCTACCACTACTTTGTTTTTTAACTACTTATAGCCTACCCAGCTATATACCGCTCCTGTCTCTAGAGTTTCCAATACAAATTCTGACATATTTTTGTACTATTATGATTAATTCAATTTTCTAATGCTACAAAATAAGTGACTGGTCTCATCAAACATTTTTTTTAACCTAATCACTGGTCACACGATGAAAGAGACTGACATCTGCAATGTCCTTTCAGGTAGTTGCAGAGAGAGCTGAGGTCTCCCCTCAGCCTCTTCTCCACGCTAAGCAACCCCAGTTCCCACAGCCACTCCTCATAAGATGTGTTTTACAGCTTCCTTGCTCTTGTCTGAACATGCCCCTGAACCCTGATGTCCTTCTTGGAGTGAGGGTCCCACCACTGAACACAGTACTCAAGGTGCAGGCTCATCAGTGCCACGTACAAGGGGACAATCACTTTCCCAGTCCTGTTGGCCATGCCAGTTCTGATGCAGGCCGCGATGACACCACTACACCAGTAATCACTAAGTATATATACATTACTGCAACTTGCTAGAAGGGAATCTTGTGCATTATTAGGTCAAAATATTCTGATACCTATTGTTTATTACGTAGATTGTTTTCAGAATCATACTAATCCTGACGGTAGGTAAACACTGGATAGGTGGAGTGCTTAGTAGTGGGCAATAACTTCTGGCTTGATTAGTGTACATTTCAAAATATATATATTATTATGTCTCTGAGCATGTTCACATGTGGATTTATGGACTTTAAAGAAGACGTGCTATATTATGCTTAGTTATTTTTAAATAATTGATTTTGCAATCTTAGAAATGGATACACCAGTTCACACAAGCTCAGTGCTGTCTTGGATCCCATGTTGATGTAAGCCATCAGTTTGCATCAGCTTGCCACAGGAACAAAGTTGAAGGTAGCCAGGAGTTCTTCTAGATCATGTTAGTCACTGTATTGTACCTGATGTGATACTGTTTTCTAAACAGGGAATCTATATTTAAAGTTGTGCTGCCATCAGGTTAGTAGCTTTAGGAGACTTGAGCTATCAATGTCTTATATCTCCTGTTCTGTTTCTCTTCAGCGGATGCTCCAAACCATTGCAGGGCTTGGATGGAGATCACATTCTAGTAAACCTGCTCAAAATGTCCATACAGGCAAACTTGGAGCTGGCTTTAGCTTCGGTAGGTATCACATTCTTTGAAAGGAGTGCAGCAACTAAGGACAAATTGCAGAGTTAGTTTAAAATAAAAAACACTGTATTGCAGTTCAGTATGAAGAGAAAGTTGAATTTTTTTGGTTACTAGAGAGGCCCAGGAAGTGGTGGTTTAGATTGTCTTGAGAGGAATGACACTACTCTTCTTTGTCTTGAGAGGAATGACATTACTCTTCTTTTCCCCTACTCTGACAACTGGCAAAATTAAAGCCAATGTAGAATTTGTGACTTCTTTTTTCTTTTTTATAATAGAACTTACTGATGAACAGAAAGAGTTTCAAGCTACTGCTCGTAAATTTGCTCTGGAGGAAATTATTCCTGTTGCTGCACAATATGATAAAACTGGAGAGGTAAATCTATCATACAGTAGGGGAAAATTAGATTTTTATATTACCCTGCATGAAATTTAAAATGCTGGCTGTGATTAATCAGAAGGTGATTTTCCTCATTTATTTCAGTATCCTCTTCCACTCATAAAACGGGCTTGGGAACTTGGTCTTATAAATTCACACATACCAGAAAGCTGCGGTAAGTAAATATTTTTAATCTGTAAAATAAAACTAAGAAAAGGATTTGGAGGTGTTTATATGTGTAATTAGGGATTCTGTATAAAATAAACAGTTGCATATTTGAATAATTAAGTTTAACCTTTTAATTTCCTGTTTTATTCATTATGTAGTCTGAGTCTTCCATCTTCAAAGGCTATCATGGAAGTGGAAGGGGTTCCTAAAAAGGATAAAGACAGCAAAAGATACAGAACAGCTTCTGTATGAGAAATAACTAAAACGTCAGTGTCATGAAGAGTGTGAAAAGGGATTGATAGCTCATCATCCCTTTCCATACAACTAGAAGGCATCAGTGAAGTCAGCAGATGGCAGGTTCTGAGTAAATTAAAGGAGGCCCCTGAGCACTTTTACAAGACAAAGCTGTGGCATTTCTCATCACGGTACCAAGAGAAACTCGTGGCAGAGTTGCTCTGTCCCTGGCATTCCTGCTCCCAGCCAGCCTACCCCATTCTCCAGCCAGGTCGTTCCTTGGTCACATCTGCTGAACAGTTAAAATCTCTATATCCCCTTCATTTTATGCAGTGTGTAGTTAATTTGTGAAACTCATAGCTGCTGCATGATATTGATGCTAAAATATGTACCTATGTTAAAAAGAGATGAGTGCAAATTCACTGAAGGGGAAGTCTGTCAAGGGTTAGCATTAACAAGGATACCAAGAGTACTTCAGGGTGAGGGAGACACCTAGAGGATGGTGAATGTATTTTGAATAAATGATGTATTGTTACTGTATTTCGAAGCACTTCCCAAAGTCGGTTTCTGTCAGAAATAGTCAGCCAACCAATCTAGTAACCTAAAATGAATAACTCGGTATTCATAGGAGCTATGGTAGCTCAGGAGCCTTTGTGGTCACTTCTCTGCTTCCTAAGAACTCTAAAGGACATTCTTAAATGTAAAGTAGTCAAACAGTTGTTGCCATTCTGTGTAACGTGCCCCATATCAATCGTGCAACCTTGGAGCAGTCAAATGTAGTTTTCCAATCATCTCTTACCATTCTGACAAAACTTTATTTAAAAAGTTGGTGTGGGATGTCTGATCAAACGCAGTGCACAATCAAGTGTATGCGGGGCAGTATGTTTTTGATAGTTAATTTATGTAAATTGCTAGTATGTCCCACTTTAAAATCATTTTAGTAAATTAAATATTTCAACTGTAGGTGGTCTTGGCCTTGGCAGTTTTGAAGCGTGCCTTATTACGGAAGAGTTAGCTTATGGATGCACAGGGGTTCAAACTGCCATTGAAGCAAATTCCCTAGGGGTAAGTTCT